GCTATTGTGAACTCCCCGACTCCCCCCACTGCAAACTCTTCGGTCTCCTCGTCATCTACGGAGGTGGCGGCAGGCGATGAGGATTCATCCAGACGCAAGAGTATGAATGGTGATGACGGAGACGACGATGATGCTAGCAAGATGCAACTCCTCAAGAAAATTAATATTGTGGGAGAACCCCAACAGTTGAAAAATGACCCGGACGAGGTTGAGGGTGATAATTGTGGCGACAAATCTAACAAAGTGTAATTAAGTTGCCCTATTTATTTATTTTTTTATGTATCTCTACATGAATTTCCCCCCCAACCTTCGATCTTCTTATTAGTTATTATTATGTTTATCTATATTTATGCAGCTAGCTATGTACGTAGCTGTATATATATATATATTATTGGATCAATCCGGGGGAATAATTAGTAGTTGTACTATATATTATCATAGTTACTTTCAAGGTCCATCAGGATAACTTTATTGACAGTTAGGGGTTTTAGGGTTTTGATCTTAGTCGGGTTGCATAAACTTATTTCCAAAGATTATGCACGATCACCTTGCTTTAATTAGCTTGCATGCGTCTCCTGATTTTTCCTGTTTCCTTGAAGAATTGATTTCGATCTATGATATGAAAATCATTAGAATCAACAACATGTGTTTGGGGGGAATGTATAATTAGTTTCCCATATGAAAATCATTAGAATCAATACGTTATCATGCAATCTAATGGTTTGATATTCAACAGAAAAAAGGGCGCAGCGAGGAAGAAAGGAGAGAAACGGCAAAGGGAGCCTCGCTTCGCGTTCATGACGAAAAGTGAGGTTGATCATCTTGAAGATGGTTATAGATGGAGGAAGTACGGCCAGAAGGCTGTCAAGAACAGCCCTTATCCTAGGTATTTATAACTATATATATACACATGCTTACTATCAATTTTATTACAGCTAGCGTTTCATATCATAATATACTAGCTAGCCCTAGTTTCTTCCATCAGTGCAGTGCTATTTTGGAATTGTTCGTAATATAGATGCTAGTTTAATTTAGAGATTGAGAAGAAATTGAATTAAGAATCTGTATATTATTAGCTATGTATATATAGTTTTCGAATTATTCCTGAACTCAGTTTCAAATTAGTTTAATTAGGGTAAAATTACAAGAATTCCTTTATCTATGCCTTACTTCTAAAAACAACCTTCATCGAAGAACGAACTTCAACAAAAATCTCATTTTTTACTACTGTGGATGCATGAAACCATTCGAAGCATTTGTTGTTCAAAAGTTTCTTCAGACTTTTACACCTGAGTAGAAGTCTATAGGTAGACATCTGTATTTCAAAATCCACAGTTTAATTTGTTAACAGTTGAAAAATAAAAAGTTTGAGAAATATTTAGTTTATACATAGATAAAATACAATCTATGTTTTTTCCATCATTAATCAAAAGTTCAGGATGCAGACATATATACATACAAACATCGGAAGAACCAAAAACTCCCATTATAGGACTCACATTTTGAGCACACACTTGCATTTTACTTATAAAAGATGAACATTGATGCAGGAGCTATTATCGGTGCACAACGCAGAAGTGCACAGTGAAGAAAAGGGTGGAGAGATCGTATCAAGACCCGAGCATCGTGATCACAACCTACGAAGGACAACACACCCATCAAAGCCCTGCAACAGTTCGAGGGAGCTCTCATCTCTTGGCTCCTCCGCCATTATCATCCATGCACCCAAGCTTTCATCAAGAACATCATCATCTCTTGATGCCTCATCTCCATCCCCAACTAATTAATATCAACAACAACAACAGCAACAATTACCTGCAGAATCTTATACAATCAATATCTCCTTTTCAGCAGCAACAACAGCATCTTGGCCAACTCCCTGATCATCACTACGGTCTTCTGCAAGATATTGTTCCATCTACTTTCAACGATGACAACCAGTTACCATGATCGGTCGATCTACTGTTTATTTTTCAATGTGAACTTAATCGACTTTGTGGCTAGCTACATCTATTTATTTATGTACATATGCATGTGTGCACTTGATGCGGCCGGTATATATAGCATAGAAGGAGAGCTAGTGTTTTTTCCCCCACTTTTTTTCTCTCCTGACTTTAATCATTAATAAGAGCATATATATATATTTTTGTTTGAAATCTACAAGTCATGTTTTACTTGCGTATTGCACAAATTTAGCTCTGAACGTCATTGGTACTATCAATCAGCTACGCTGAAGGATTGGGTTTTTGTTTGTGCTGCTGATGAGTTTGGAAGAAATTAATTAAAAACTAGCATTTTAAATCTATCTGCTGATATAATAATTGGTGAGTTATGTGATTATTAGTTAAAAGTAATGGTGCATTGTTCCTTTCAACAATACTTTATATATGCCGATCATCATTGAGGCATTGCATATGGCTATGCTTTATCCATGCTGCAACTATGAGTAGATATTCAAAAGAATGTAACCAACATGTTTTCAAGTGCTAATTAAGATTCACAACATTAAAGAAATATTTACTTCGGCCTCGTTTGGCAAAGGGTTAATGAAGAGGGGTTAAAGAGAATGATTAATGTACTTAGCTCATTTGATAATCCGAAGGACTAAATTATTAACCCGTTAAATAAGTTTTATTTTAGCCCTTATGATCAGTTTTAGTGTTTGGGAATAACAATGATTTTGACTATTTTCTTTATAATTAGAAGGGTTAACTCTTATTCCATCTAAATAGGAGTATTAGTAAACCCCTCATTTTGATGGGTTAACTCATTTTAACCCCTCTAGAGGGGTTAACTTAACCCTTCTATATTTTTTATGTTTGACAAATTATGGAGGATTAACTCACTTTAACCCTTATATAGATTTATTGTGTTTGGCGGGTTAAGAAGGGGTTAAGTCTCCTTAACCCCTCTCTTAACCCTTTGCCAAACGGTACCTTCATGTGTAGTAGAGTTAATGGGCCAAGGATTTTGTCCGCAAACTTTTTTATCTATTGGATTTACTTTGAAATTCGCATTAGTGTGTGATATGCATCAACGCTATATTTAAGACATGCGCGCAAGGCTATCTAGAGTTAAAAGTTGAATGTTTTCACAAGAATTGTGAATTTAATTATTAAATGAGATGGACTATTCTCCTCCTAAAAGGAGAGGGAATCTAGTCCTTCTATGATTTTTATCAATAGGAATAGAATTAATATAAAATTATAACTCTTGACCTTCTCCATAGCTTTTTAGAGTTTTACCACAATGGTTAGTAACTTTAACATGGTGGTAGAGCAATCAGGTTTAAGTCTCCTCATCCATGAATTTAACACAAGTTTTTATTAAAAAAAGGGCACTATGACCCCAAGTTCCCGTTCATAAAAAAGGCAGTCAACCAACGAGAGAGTGTTAGAATTAATATAGAATTATAACAGCTTTCACCACAACTTGCAATTTGGGTACGATGGTTAGGGACATTAACATTTTAACATGTAATTATTAAAAAAATTATAAGGTAAGATATCTACTAGAACATTGTATTTGTTTCTTTAAAGCTCATTTCATATGAGGTTAAAGCAGTCAGGGTTAAACTTTAACATGATAATTATTATCCTAGAACAGTTAGTAGGGAAAATATTTATGTATTTGGTATAACATGTGATAAGGGTTAAATTTTAACACATAAGTATCTCTACCACTTTGAACTCAAAATGCATAAATAACAAAAAAAAAACCCTCAAAATATTAAACTTATGAACAACCTCCTCAGAAATCTGATAATTATAAAAAGCCTCATGCAGAATTCAACATTTATGGAAAACACCCTCAAAATTTTAAAAATTACAAAAAACACCCTAAAATTTTCAAAATTTAAAAAAATTACATTTATGGTATAGGATTCTAAACACCACCCTAAAAGTTTTGGAATTTATGAAAGAATACCCTGAATGTTTTAAAACTTGTAAAAAACACCCTCCAATATTAAAAATTTATAGAAAACTATTTGTAGGATTGAAATTATATTCAAAATTTTATAGGAAACTATTTGTAGGATTGAAATTTTAGGGTTTTCCGTAAAATTTGGAATTTGAGGGTGTTTTTTGCAATTTACAAAATTTTATGGGTGTTTTCTGCAAATTCTGACTTTTAAGGAGGTTGTTTGGAGTTCCTGGAATTCCAATATACAGTTTGTAAGTTTTGAAATTTTCACTTAACA